TCCTTCTCCTCCTCTTATCAGGATTTGGAAAGTCAGGAGAGATACTTGAATCATCATTTTCTTCTTTTATTTCCAGAGCGATAGACTTAATGAGAGGAACATCAGCACTGCTCCTTTATTTAATGTGTTTTTGTGCTGAGCTCCTTTCATTTTTAGAAATGTATATAATGCTTGTCTATATCCACTGCCTCTTAGTCAGAAGTTATCCTTTTAAAAATATTATTGGTTTATTTTTCTCCAGGGAGAGAATAAGAGCATATTTGCATATGAAACTCCCTCAGGGGCTTAAACAGTACTGCATTTCTTTAACATGTTCATTTAAGTCTGTTAAATTGATGGTCAACTGTTACACTTGATCAGGAGCAGATGAAACATGAGAGAGTTGTATAGTTCCACTGTAATGCCTGTAGATTTTGTATTACTTTTTATTTTTTAAAAAAACTGGTGTATTATAGTGTTAAAGGCAAGATAACAAACTTACCAATTATATAGGAAAAGTGCAATAATATGGAAATTCAAGATTTAAAGACAAGTATTTTTCTTGTATTGTATTAATTACTTTTCCACTGCTGCCCCTCTCCATAACATGTATTTTAAAACAATGTGAGAATTAAGACTTCATTTAATGCCATAATGAAGCTCTGTTTTAATAGGTGATAGAATGCACTGAAGTGCTGTTACATAATAAAGATTTCATTAACATTTTATGTTACTGGTGTGGTTTATTCTTTTAATAATTGTTATAGTATTATAACATCACCAGCTGTGGTGAAAAGAGAGACAAATCGCAGTAACACTGATGACTAAATTGATGTTTTATTTACTTAAGCTTGCTTCCATTAATAGCATTTTTCTACTTGACTGCTGGTATTGACATATCTTGTTTCTATGCCTATAACTGTAACAAAGTAGCGACCCTAAATCAATCAATCCTACTTCTGATTCTTTCCACCTTTTTATTGTAAGCTTCCTTCCATGATGAAGTGTCTTCCAGGAAGACAGAATGAAGTCAATTTAGCAAAGATAAGTGCCTTCATTAGGACTTACTTTGTGGCACTAGGGGGGTAAAGTGCACTTATTTCTCCATCCTTACTGCACCCGCAGATAGACCAGGTTCCTTCTGAGTAAGGAGCAGCTGGGGAACTACTACAGGCTGCTCTGAGGAATAGTTTCAGCATCTACTAGACAAAGTAGCTCAACTTTGCTCAGAGTGGGATTCCAACTGAGCAAATTCTTTGGAAGTGACAGAGACATGTTTAAGCCCTGTTATTTGGGAGGAGTTTGAATTGGTTGGTTGCATGGAAGTGAAAAAGGTCTTGTGGCTGTAGTTTGGCCATCTGTTTTTTAGACTCAAACTTAAGAGTTGAGGCTTCCTGGGAGGTGGCTTGTAGATGGGTCCAAGAAATGGTTACTGCCTGTTTGCAGGAGGAAATGATTCTGCCTACTCTGAAAGACGAGGTGAATCAACCACTTCTTAAGATGCCATTGAATTCAGACAATTTTCGTCCCATCTCCATCCTTCCTTTGTTGGGGAAGTGGAGATGACATTGGGGCTCAGCTGCAGAGTTCTGGATGAAGATTATCTAGATCAGGGGTCCTCAACCTTGGCAACTTTAAGACTTGTGGACTTCAAATCCCAGAATTCCTCAGCCAGCAAAGCTGGCTGAGGAATTCTGAGAGTTGAAGTCCACAAGTCTTAAAGTTGCCAAGGTTGAGGACCCCTGATCTAGATCCTTTTCAGTCTGGATTCAAGCCAGAGTCCAGTACTGAGATGGCATTGGCTGTACTTGCAGATAACCTGGAATGCTCGGGATGGAGATGGTACAACCATTCTGCCCACCTCCCCCTGGATCTCTCAGAGGTTTTCAATACCATTGACTGTTGTAAACTTGGTATCCTGATCCAGCTTTAGGGGCTGAAATTGGGAGGCACTATTTTGCAATATTCTCCTTTCTTCATGGCCAGCTTTTTGGAGACAAGAGTTCAAGCCGTAGATCCCTGCAATGCGAGGTGTCTCAAGAGTTTTTTTCTTTATCTTTTAACATCTATATGAAACCCTGGGTGAGATCATTTGCCAGCAGGTGGTATGGTATAGTCAGTATAAGGTATAATTCAGCTACACATCACCCCTGGTTGGGCAAGTTATCCTATTGAAGTGCAGACTGTGTGTCTGGAGGCTGTGGGGTCTGGTTAGGGAGAAGCCTATTTGGACTTAACTCTGGCAAAATGGAATGTTGGGTTTCTGGTCCCAGGGTCTGGTGACATGCCAGCTTTGATTCTGGACAGGATGAGACTTCCTTGGATGGAGCTGGTGTGCAATCTGGGGGTCCTTCTACATTCCTTCTATACCTCTACACTCACAACTCCTGCTCAATGAATAATTGACAATCATCACTAGGAAAATTATTCTTGTGTTCCAGTTGCATCTTTCCTGGATTGGGAGGTTTTGTTCATGGTCACTGATGCCTTGGTTGCTTCCCATTTGGATTACTACAACATGGTCTACATGGAGCACCCCTTGAAGACAACCCAGAAACTAAAACAGCAGTAGTAGCAGCACACAATTTTGGGCACTCCTAGGTTCATCTATTATACCCCTGTTGCACAAGCTGCATTAGATCCCAGTTTCTTTATGAATGCAATTCAAGATGCTGGTTATCTGCTAATACTGTTGCATCTATTTGATACTTCTTAACCAGTTGGGTGAAATGGTGCATCATAGAACAACAATTTTTGAATCAGCATACCTCAAGCGGACTAATTTACAGAATGTGTCCAAAATCAGGACAGGAAGATAGAAGGGGCAGAAAGGCCCAACAGGTGAGTGGTCATTAACTGATTTGGAACGAAGACCCAAATTTGAAATCTCTTAACAGCAATGGCAGTTATGTGAGAGAAGAATGAAGGAGTGACTTGGATGCCTGCTGGCAAAGTTGAGTTGACTGGGGCTGGTGGGAGGTTGGTGGTTGACAGGTGTGCCCTTTCCTTAGGGATACACTGGAATGGGAAGGGGGTGTGAAGCTTTTCCTCCCTTTGTTTCCCCTCTGCCCCAGTAAAGGGGCAGGCAGTTCCCTGGCAAAGTAAGCAGAAGAGGATGAGGCAGCTTCACTGCTGCTCTCCTGGGAATTATGAGGGGAAGGGAAATAGTGCAAACCTATATAAGGAATGATAAATATATGGAATCATTCATATATGGAATGAGGAAAGACAAAGAAGCAACTTGGCTGGCGGCCGGCAACAACTCCCTGGAGGGATGGGCCCTTGGGACATAGTGTAATGGGAAGTGGGGTTGTAGTGGTCCATTCTTTGTTCCCCCCTCCCCGTAGCAAGGTGGCAAGCAGTTCCACAAGTCAGAGGAAAAGGAGGAGGCTTTACAATATGCTGCCCATACAGAGAGACTGGACAACTTACAAAGGCATACAAATATAAAAGCATTAAAATTAACGACAATAGTTAAACGCCAAGAATATAGTGAGACAATAAGGGGGTGGACTTTTGTTAATAGATTGGATAACCATTTGACTAGGATGATATAATGTCTCCTGCCTTAAGCTGGAGGTTGGACTAGAAGACCTCTGAGGTCCCTTCCAGCCTTAAGATTCTATGTTCTATGACTCTCCTAAGGAATGAGGGAAAATGGTACAAGCCTAAGGTCCCATAAAACATTTCCCTTAGACTAACTTAAGCAACGGTTCATTTTTTTAAGGCTAACTTTTTTGAGAGACAGAGATTTAGCATATTAAATTCAAGAGCTAACTAAGCTGCTTCCAAAGTGGTGTAAAATGGAATTTGAGCTGGGAGCACGAACTGTTTGCTTACAATACATAGATTTTGCATACAAAAGTTACCAGTCCTGATTCTTAAGCTACACAGGACTGGAAAAGATTTTTAACACTGAGGAGAACAGTATAATCCAAAAGTGAACAAGTTATACAACTTTATAAAAGGGAGTATAATATTGTTTTATTCAAAACATGCTATGATAACCATTTCCTTGTATTTGATTCCCTTCCTCAGTCCTTTTGGTCAGTCTAAGTTTGATTATGCCACAATACCAGTTCAGTGTTGTTTTTTTCACAATTATTTCTTTGTATTTATGAAATTTACAGAGCCCCCTCCCAACACACAGAATTAAACCTTCACCTTCTTTCCCTGCATATATTTAACTCCATTCTACAAAATCAGGAAACTTTCATTTAGATCTGTTGTACCTTTCCCCCATTTTTTAAAGTTTTAGGTACCTACACAGTGGCTATGATTTGATTTATTATTCAGGCATTACTTATGCTTCTTATATTTGAAGCCAAATACTAGGTGCATAAAATACTAGGTCTACTGCTCATTAAGGCCTTGTTCAATGAAGCTTTCTTATAGCGTTTTTCATTAAGATAAACAATAGATTAGGTTTTCAATGTTGTTTGTAGGTGTGTTGCATGTAGCATTCCCTGCTAAGTCTAAATTATTGGCCCGTTTGGGCAGTAAACCACAAGTAAACCACGTTTAATCAAAGCATACTCAACAGTATTGTGCACAAACTAAGATTTCTAATATTGTATAGAGATTTACTTGCAAACTGTTAGCGGAATCCCCAAAGCTCAGAGGTACACATAGTTCCACAGAGGTACACATAGTTCCTGACATTCATTCACGATTGTAAACTGTTTAAATTTTAGATTCCGCGGCTACCTCGGTTGGCTCCTTTCCCCAGCCAGTTCCCCATCTCTCTTCCTCTTTGCTTTCTTTACTTCTTTCTCCTTCCATTATCTCTTGTTTCTCTTCCCTCCGCCTCTTTCGAATCCGTAATGGGAACTCCTTTCACCTCACTTTGTTTCAGCACGGTTTATATTAGTGGAGTGTGTCGATGCCGGTCTGTCCACGGTGCTGCCTGTTTTCTCCACACATCCAAAATGCTTCTCGCCATGTTATTCTCCGCTTTTAGGAAATTTTGGGTATGAAAACGATGAGCAATTATTTTGTATGACGCAGAGAAGGATCGAAGCCGTGAGGAAATAGAAAACGTTTTCATCAGGCTGAGTTACGGCGGCAACCCCTTCGGGTGGGGGCCTTTGGGTCTTTGCGTCCGAAGCGGGATCGGACGGAAGAAGAGTGTGAGCAAGATGAACCTGGAGCTGCTCGGTGCGTGGGGAGAAAGACGCTTTGGTCGCTGCTCTTTACTTGGGGCTGGGATGCGTGGACGGGGCAGCCGGGGGACGATGAGCAGACGGGCTGTGGGATAAACTCGGGAAGGCGCGTTTGTGGGCGGTAAAGCATCGCGGTGTTGGAACTGGCTCGGGGGGGGGGGGGAAGAAAGGGCCGCTGGGTTGCTTCTTTGACTGGAACGCGGGAAGCGGCGGGGGGCGGGGGGGGCCCGCGCATTTTCCTTCATCCCGTTTGCAGATCTGGGCACAGCTATCCAGCGATGCGGAAACGGCGGGACGCTGCCTCCCGATCGCTTCAAAAGCATTTGGTGTGGTTGAAATGCAAAAGAGTCCAGGAGACAAGAGGCAGATTTATGCTGTTGGTTTGAGCTCCGAGCTTGGCAATTTGGTTGCAAACGTTTCGTCACCGTTCGAGGAGATACCGGCAGGAGGCTTTGAATTGTGCTCGTCTGTCGGAACAGTGGCCTTTAAATGCCTTTTATTATATAATGCAAATTGGTATGCGTGTTGTTTATTTGGATATCCGAAATCAGACCGTGACTCAGAAATATCCGAATAAACAACATGCATACCAATTTGCATCACATAAAAGGCATTTAAAGGCCAGTGTTCCGACAGACGAGCACAATTCAAAGCGCCCTGACGATGTCTCCTCGATTGGTGACGAAACGTTTGCAACCAAATTGCCAAGCTCGGAGCTCAAACCAACAGCCTAGCTACCAACCCCAGGTACTGATATTCAAACATATGTCAGGCAGATTTATGACGCGGGCGCCTACATCGGACCCCGATGGACCCGATTTTGAGAATTGTTATAGGTGGGCCGGGCGATTTCATCTTTTCTCTTTTGCTGCCCCCCCCCCCGAAAAATCCATTATGTATAGCGAGGAAACCCATCCTTAATGTAATATTGAGGTCAGGTTATTTCACTATTGTGTTTTAACTTTAGAAGTATTATATAGATGAGTTACAAATGATTTAAGTAGTATAAATTATGTGATAAAGGAATATCTGGTGAAAGTATCAGCTTCATAACATTTTGTAACAGGCAGTGCATCTTTTTCTAGTCCTCTACATGCCTATTTCACTTGAGATGAAGTTACAGTTAAAGGGTTTGGAGTATAAATGAGAATTAATGGACCTCAGTAGATAATTACTTCCAAAGTGACCTGTCAAAAAGAAAACCTATGTATGTTTCTTTTTTAAAAAAAGTTTTATATTATTAATTGCTTCCCCTTAAGGCATGGCAACATCCCATTTTTGAACATTTCTAACTTTAAGAAATACTTAATTTTGATGATTATATGGTTGTTGGAATCCAAAGAGTAATTTTGGATAAAATTTTGAGATTCCTGCAGCAAGGAATTTATATTTTGCTCATCCAAAAATAGTAAATATTGTTAATTTTACCAATATAGCAGATAAGATTTTCAGTTTTTCAATTTAAATATATTAAATTACTTGAACCTCATTGCTAAAACTTCCTTCAATTTCTGGATAGCAGATATAATATTGTAATACATGCTACTGATTTATAGATCAGATTTATTATTTCAGTACCTGCTCTTATCATTAGATCTTCAGTAATATAGCATGCAACAAAAAGGAGTGAGGCATTTTTGAATTTCCTTCATATTTTCTTCTTTTTTTTCAGAATCCTTTGGGCAGAACTATCCAGAGGTATATATATATATATATATATGTATTTACCCTTGTATAAATATTTTGTAATATTGTTTGTGACTATTTTGCTGAAATAGAAATGAGAATTCTTGGTATATGCTCATACACATGAAATAGACTGTGTGTCTTAAATCTTCAACTTATTACATGAACATTGCGACAAGTTATTTACTGTATTTGCATTTCATGGGGTGAAGTAACATGGTTATGTAACCTATACATGAAACCTCTCCATTGTTTCTATCCCTTTTTTGTTTTCAGGAAGCTGATGGCACATTGGACTGTATTAGTATGGCTCTTACATGTACTTTTAACAGATGGGGCACTCTTCTAGCAGTGGGCTGTAATGATGGCCGAATTGTCATTTGGGATTTCTTGACAAGGGGCATTGCAAAAATAATAAGTGCCCATATTCACCCAGTTTGTTCATTATGGTAAGGAATTATCCTAATACAAATTTAATTTGCTTTGTGGATGATGTGCCTGCAGTTGAGGTCAGAAAAAAGAACTCTGCATGCATTTATTGTACAATTTTCATACATTTAAACTTTGGACATTTTATTAGAATATTACTAGTTTTTATTACTGGAAGCTACAGTTCAGGAATATGCATAGATGACAGCTAGGCAGCTCAAAACTTTGGGTGAACTTTACATCACCAGGTGTACCCAAAAAAATGAATTGGACTGAAGTGTCCAGTATTTTGGGCAGTGAAAGTTGTTCCAATAAAAATTTCAGCGACAGCTTCAGCTGCAATTTGATTCTCAAATACACATGCAGTCAGTTTATTTTGATACCAGCTAATAGGTGATGCATAAAGATGTGTTAAGGTTGTAATACGTGATTTTTTCCCATTGAACTTACAAGGCATTTGGTTCTTTAAATGTTTTTTGGAAATTAAAGATTGGAGTGCTGCAGAAGGCTTGTCAACATGATATTTGATCAGGACAGTGAAGATTGTACTGAGAGGCTATCTAGATCTTTCTCTTTCAGTTGGAGTCGTGATGGTCATAAGTTAGTGAGTGCATCAACTGATAATATGGTGTCTCAGTGGGATGTTTTGACTGGTGATTGTGATCAGAGGTTTCGTTTTCCTTCTCCTATTTTGAAAGTCCAGTATCATCCCCGTGATCAGTAAGTAATATTAACACCTTTTTTAAAAAACAGTAGTAATCTAGATAATTTCTTTAAAGTATATGCAAGTTATAATACCTTTTCATGGGTTGTAGTCAAAACAGATTTTTTTTTTTTTTTTACTATGCAGCTTAGCAACTGAAGAAAAACAAAAACTGGCTAGGTTGGGCATACAGTGTTATCACCACTGTAGGAATATCAACCAGCTCCAGGAATAAGAAAGTATATCTGAAAAACTGTGGGTCAATGCATCAATAGGTTGATAGCATTGAGATCTAAGACTCTCAGAATTCAGTATTGTTTTCAAGTGCACGCAGCATACATGTTAGGTGATAGAGAAAGATCTTGCCTTTCATTCCCACTATCAATATCTGTGTTTCTCTTGTTTGTGAATCTTGATACTATTCTAAACTTTGTGAAATTTTCCTAGGATTTTTTCTTCTATATGTGTTTTCCTAAATACATATGGAAATACAAATGTGCAAAATGCAAATATACAAAATACAAAGTCTCTTAATCTGGCAGTTTGAAAGATATGAGGTTCCTGCAAAGTTCACATTGCTGTTGTTTAGAATAGCCATGAGAATCTGGGTCTTCATCTAGGACTTTGATGAGAGAAAGTGAGACCATTACTTCATTCCACTTGGTCTGTTTGCTTGTCATCTTTTATCTTTATATTTCATTAAATGTTTTGTAATTTCTTTGATTGTAGTGGGCCATCTAGAGTTGAGAGTCAGGCAGCATACATTTAAACATTATTATTGTGGGCGGTTGCACAGCTGTCTACCTTTTTATCATATTTAATGCATACATTATTAATTATAATTATTATTATTTCCTGTGCTGGCATGCCAAGTTGCCAGGAGGCAAAATAGCAGGCATAGAATCTACCTTAGGCCCAATATAAATAGGCTCAGACTCTATAACAGCAAACTATATTAATACAGTCTTTGAAAAAATCCCTTTGCAATGTCTTTGAGGTCAAACTCATGGTCAAACAGGAAAGCAGGGTTTGAAACTGATAAGTTATCACTAGACAGTAAATCCACAGAAGATGCAAAAAACAAGATTAGAGAAATCCTAGATGCAGCAATGCCGGATATTTATAAGAGATATTTAAATTGTTCTTAACACTGCCCAGAGGGAGTGAGCACATTAAATAAACTTTGCTAAACCTCCATTCAGTAAACAGCAGAGACTCATTAAAAAGTTGCTGCAGAGTTTGTTCTCCTGTTAGTACTTAACATGCCTGTTGACTAGTTTCTCATTTCTGTGAAACTCAATCTCTAGTCCTGGATTTTCATTAAGCAATTCTTTCTATGATTAAATAGCTAAACCTCTGATTTTCAGTTATTGTCAACAGATACAAGCAAGAGATTCTGTGAATTTGTTGAGTTTTTTTAAGAATAGGATCACTAGTTCCAATGTTGTTAGAATCATGAGTGACAGGAATACTGTCACTTAATTGTTTCTAGCTTCATTTCTCCTCATTCTTCTCATCCCCTAGCCAGATCACGTCAAATACCTTTACTGGATCACTATTCTGCTGAATAATCACTGTTACATTTCGTGAGGGCCTGACCTAAAAGGTTATTCAGAAACTTTCCTCATTGGAGAATATCATCTTTGTCCTTTTATTTTATGGATTCTTGGATGACTTATGGAATAAAAATGAAATGAATGTATCTATGTATGGGGAAGTGAAAACATAATTACCAGATATAAGCATTGTATTAACTATTTAGAATATGAATGATACTGAATTGATTTATTAATCCCGCTTGTTTATGAATACAAAATACGATTCATTTTTTTTTCAGGGGAAAAACATACTTCCTTTGTGTTTTTCATGTTTTTGATGATGCGTTGCTTGATGTTTAGGAATTTTTTTTGTTTCTTGTTTTCTATTTCTTTAGAAACAAAGTATTAGTATGTCCAATGAAATCTGCCCCAGTAATGCTAACATTGTCTGATTCGAGGCATGTTGTCCTACCAGTAGATGATGATTCTGATCTCAATGTGGTAGCTTCTTTTGATCGACGAGGGGAATATATCTACACAGGGAATGCTAAAGGGAAGGTGAGAAATAATTATATTGTTTTGTTTGTTCTATAACCTAAACCTGTCTCAAAGGTAAAATCCATGGAAATAAATGGGATTTGTATCTGGTAAGTAAAAATTAGTTCTTCAGCATAGGGGTGCAATCCTTGCTCATCTCATATTAAATCCCATTGAATCCAATGAAGCTTTTCAATAATCACAGAGGATTCTGCTTCAATAATAAGGCTCAATGATCATACTTTGGACACATTATGCATAGACATAGTCCTCTGGAGAAGTCAATAACGCTGGGAAAGATGGAAGAAGACAGAAGAAAGGAATCACAAGCAATAAGGTGGTTGGACTTAATTACAGCAGTGATGGATAAACTATTGGAAAAGTTGGGGACAGATTTGTCTATCAGTAAAAGTCAGCACTGAGTTGATGACCCATAATCATTCAATGTGTTTGGTCACACTGTTCACCAGTTTGTTTGAAAGGTTGTTGTATTTGCAATATGTCCACTACATGTCATGCAATGAATATTTTATTGCTCAAAGAGATACCACACATTCATGAATAATAGATAAATGCAGAAAAAGTATATTACCCTACTACATTGATCAAGGATTTGGCATGACTACTGTCTCAAATGCTATTATATAACCATACATCTGGTTTAGGTTGGCTGATCTAGGTCTTGTTCCAGAGAATTCACAAAACTGTTAATTAGTCTGTTACTTGAAGCTTTTAACAATTGAGTTTTATGATATAAAATGTAGTATATCATACAGAAAAAAATCTAGCTTGCTCAGGAGTGAGGATGCTTGTTGGCATGTGACTGGTAAAGATAACCAGCATTGGACAATATGAAGGTCATTTTATCCTTCCTGGTGAACTTGTAAAAATGCCAGAAATTTTTGGGTCCAAATGCATGCAATGATACAAAGAATATTCAGATTGTCATTCAATTGAAACTTCTTATAGTAATTCTGTAAAACGTTTCTTAATGATGCTATTCTCATTTGGAAAGATACTACTGTGCAAAATGAAATCTATACTATTGGCAGAGTTTTTAATACCTGCTGTAGTATTGCAATGTTAAATGTAAAGCTTTGTCTCATTTTTAATGTTTTAAGATCCTTGCTTACTATTTGATAAGTTATGGAGTAAAATAAAATTGCAAGGGTATATAGTTGGGGTGAACTGTATACCCTTGCAATTCATTGATTTTTCTTACAAATTTTAGGTAGTAAGATTGTACAAATTTCTTTCTTTTTCAGATCTTAGTGTTAAAGACAGACACTCAGGACCTTGTTGCTTCCTTCAGAGTGACAACAGGAACCAGCAACACTACTGCAATTAAATCTATAGAATTTGCTCGAAAAGGAAGGTGAGTTGAAGTCAGTCAGAGCTTCACAATTTATTCACTGAAAGCATAATGATGAAAAGCTTTTCCCCCCAAATGCCATTTGTGTAGACAATTTTAAATTCTTCCCACTTGTGATAATGGAGTGGAATTACTGAATATAATCCTGTTCCTCTCAACGCACATTCTGTGAGTGTTCTGCAGTGATGACAATAATTCATTTCAAAATGAGGTTAAATTATGAGAGTATCTGGATTTATCAGGAAAGCATAGGAAATTGCCAGGTATGCCACATCTTGTTTATCTAGGCTGGTATTGTTCGTTCTGGTCAAGCTCATGCAGTAATATTTCCTGTCACTTAGTTCTTTATCTTTTAACGGACTTGAATTTGAAGGTTTCTTTACACAAATCATGTATCATAAAACAGAGCTATGCTCCTTCCCTAATAAGCTATGTTAGTTCCCCAGATGTCCTGATTGGTACCACCTGCAGCTAAAATTTAATTTAAATCCCTTAGAGTTGTCAAATGCCCATTTTTATCAATGGATTAATACTTGGGCTTATTTTTCAGAATGACTTTCTTTTGCCTTTGGAAATGTTTTGAGACGTGTTTTAGATAAGGACAATTTTAGAATTTTGAGTTTGCATTAGATTGTATGATCTTCAGCCAAGTTTGTTCGTATATCTTTTAGGCTAATTGTGAAATTGTCCTAGTGACTGTTGCTTTTGAAAGTGATAAAAGTGATCACCAGTATTTGAAATTAGGTAGATACTTGAACATTAGCTAATTTAAGGTGCAGCTGTCATGAAAAAAGGATAAAGTTAGTTAATACTATGATTGAAAGCTAAACAAATAAAACATCTAAATGTAATTGTACATGCTTGAAGACGCTTTAGTGTAGCTTTCATGTCACATGGCAATTTGTTTTTCAAACTGAAAAAGTTTTGAAAAAGCAACTTACATCCTGACATAAAAAGCAGCCTTCAAAAACTAAACTTATTGAGACTTCCGGTGGATCTGCGCGCGCGATGGCGGCTACTTTGTAGCCGTCCTCCTGGGTAAGTGTTTGAATCGCTATGAACAGCGGCCATCAGCTGTTCAGCGGTTCAAAATCCCCCTCCCGGGCAAAGGGGGGGGGAAGAGGGTTGTCTGAATAGTGGTAGAGCCACTCTCATGCACCCCCAAGGCTTTTTTTGGGGGGTGAGAGGAGTGCTCCCATGGAGTTCAGACTGTCTCCGCTTCCCAGCTGCTTTTGTCCCTAGGGACAAAACAAGCCGCTGCAACCACCTCCGCGATTAAACTGATCTGGTGAGGTTTTTTTAGAGGCGGACAGAGCTGAGTATTTAGCTTTTGCTTTCTTTGATTTTATTTGGATTTTAAGTTTAAAGATTTACTTTTACTTTTATATTCCCTCTTTTTATTTTTTTTCCTTTTGTTGAAAGGGAAAGTAAAATGGCGATCGGCAAGCCTTTCGGGTTTTGTTTGTTTGTTTGTTTTTTGGGAAGGTAGAATGGCGATCGGCAGGCTTTTTGGTGTTTTTTTTATCCTTTCCCCCCTTTTTTTTAATGATTGGAATGGAATGTGGATTTGATTTTGATGTTGGGTTTGGATTTTAGAAGCATTATTATTTTTGTTTAACTTCTTTGTTTTGCTTTTTGTACTTTTAAAAAAATGGAATGGATTTTTTCTATTTAATTATTTTTTTCTTCTTCCCTTTTCTTTTTTTAACTCCTTTCTTTTTATTATAATGATCTCCTTTTGAAGGATTTTTTGATTTTTTGGAGTTAATCTCTCTTTTTCTTTTGTTTAATTTTTGTAACTTTTAAGAAGGAGTAAAGATTTTTCTAAGATGGCTCCAAAGCGTTCAGTATTTTTTTGTTATAATGATCTCCTTTTGAAGGATTTTTTGAATTTTTTTGGACTTAATCTCTCTTTTTCTTTTGCTTAATTTTTGTAATTTTTAAGAAGGAGTAAAGATTTTTTTTAAGATGGCTCCAAAGCGTCCAGTAATTCATACAGCTCCTAAGGTGGTTTCTTCTTCGGTGTTATCATCAGTGCAACAACCTAAATCAATAGCTTCACCCTCTTCCTTGGTACAGCCAATAATTGTGAAGGATTTGCAAGATATGATGGGAAATGTTATATCTCAAATTAGGGCAGAAATGAAAGAGATTTTAGAGGAAAATAATAAGATTTTGAGGCAAGAGATAGTTTTGGCTCTAAAAGGAGTTGCCTCTGTTCTTGAAAAGCTGAACTCTCGTGTAGAAGAGGTAGCAGAAAAAGTGGAATTGATGGAGGGAAAATTTGAAAGCATGGAAAAAGAAATGGAAAATGAGATTCTTATGCTTCAATATAGACAAATGGAATATGCCTTAAGAATCAGAGGTTTGGGAGAGTCTGTGCAAGGAGATCTGAGAGAGATGGTTGCAAAGGACTTTGCTGTGATTTTGAATAAAGAAAAAGAGGAAATACTCAGTGAAATTGAAAAATTATTTAGAGTTAACTCTGTGGTGGCAGTGCAAAAGAATTTGCCAAGAGATGTGGTAATTTACTTTGGGAAAAGATCTCTGCGCAACGAAATTATACAAGCTTTTTATAAGAAGAGATTTCAAATTGCTTCACAAGATGTTATAATTCTAAAGGAGATCCCATCTAAAATTTTAAGAAGAAGAAAGGAGTTTGCTTTTTTAGCAGATGAACTTAAAAAGAGACGAATCTTGTTCAGATGGGATGTTCCGATTGGAATGGTGGTGAATTACCTGGGGATATGTTATAGACTTAATACTGTTTCTCAAGCAAAAGACTTTTATACTTCGGTCCTGGGGGTATGTTCATCGCCATCTATTAGGTTTAAAGCTTTGGAAGAAAAGAAGGTAGAATTGCAGTCTGAAGAGCCTATACTTATGAAAATTGGGAAACCTCAGTTTGAGGGGCCTCAACAAGTCGAGATGGAGGAGCAGAGGATAACCTGTGCAACATATAACTGTAAAGAAAAGGAGCAACAGAAGAAGGTTAAGGAAGCCTCACAACTATTGGTTTCTGAATCTGTGGGAGAAGTAGGATTTATAAATTTTTTGGAGCAACCTTTAAGGGTAGAATTGCAGTCTGAAGAGCCTATATTAATGAATGGGAAATCTCAGTTTGAGGGGTCTCAACAAGTCGAGATGAAGGAGCAGAAGACAACTCATGCAACATATAATCGTAAAGAAAAAGAGCAACAGAAGAAGGAGTTTAAGGAAGCCTCACAAGTATTGGCTCCTGAGTCTGTGGGAGAAGCAGGATTTATAAACTTTTTGGAGCTACCTTTAAGGGCAGATTTCAAAGCACTTCTTTCGAGATTTATGGATAAGAGAGACTGACAAGGATTACTTAGTTTAAGTATTCAAAAGAGTACTGAGTCTGTGGGAGAAGCAAGATTTACAAACTTTTTGGAGTTAGCTTTAAGGGCAGTTTTCAAAGCACTTCTTTTGAGGTTTATGGACAAGAGAGACTGATAAGGAATGTGTTTATTGTGGATGGAATTATTTTAATGGTTTATGGACAAGAGAGACTGATAAGGAATGTGTTTATTGTGGATGGAATTTGTTATTGGTAAAGATTTAAATGTGTATAAGGGAATTCTAATGTTTTAAGTAATGTTCAAATTTGTGTTTTGGAGGGAGTTTATAAAGAATGATGGATAATAACGTAAGTATGATATGAAAAGGTTCAGAGTATATTATAATGTGTTTAATGATTGGGGTTTTTATTATTATTATTATTATTATTATTATTATTATTATTATTATTATTATTTTTAAGAGAAGATAACTTGTTTAATTAAATGTACCTAGATTTGTTTAGGATTTATATGTCTTTTAAGTTTTTTTTTGATAGGAGAGAAGATTATGGAGATTGAATGAAAATCTTAGATAAGAAGTTTAAGTTTAAGTATTTAGTTTAAGTATTCAAAGAGTATTTAGTTTTAATGGTATAATGAAGGTTTATATGTTTATTTTTGTGTTCTAGGATAAAGAAAGAGGGAGAGATTAGATTTTATATTGTAGGTATAGATATTCAAAGAAAGTAATGTTTAATTTGTGTTTTGGAGGGAGTTTATACAGAATGATGGATAATAATATAAGTATGATACTAGAAAATGTTTAGAGCATATTATAATGTGTTTAATGATTGCATTTTTAGAGAAGATAACCTATTTAATTTAATGTATTTAGATTTGTTTAGGATTTATATGTGTTTTAAGTTTTTCTTTTTCTGAAAAATTTTAATTAAGCCTGTACTCTGCTCTGGGAAGGTTGGGGGAGGGTTTGGGAGGTTTGGGGAGGTGGGGGAGGGTATGGGAGGGTGGGGGGGGGTTTAGGGAGGGGATTTGTTTTGTAAAATTTAAAAAACTTTCAATAAAAAAAAACTAAACTTATTCTATTGCATCTGAATCTTTGGGTGCATCCAAAGGAAGTCTTTCTGGCTTACATATTATAATATTATTATTATTGATTACCAGATATGCAGATAGTCCTTGCTTAACAATGGCAATTGGGATCTGCAACTCTTTTCTAAATGACACTGAATGTAAAGCAGAAAATCACATGCCAATTTACAACATTAGTCCCTTTTATTTATTAAATTTATATATCACCCAAATCGCTGTTTGCCATCATGAAGCAAATTGCACATGGTCATTAAGTGTGATGCAATTGCAACCTCCTGCTGGCTTCCCCATTCACTTTGCTAATGAGAAGCCAGCAGTGAAGGTGGCAAATCATGATAATAAGGCCACAAGATGTTGGAACCATGATAATTGTTTGCTGGTCAACTAGCACTTGAATTGTGATCATACGGTTGTGGATATATTACAAATGCCAGAACTTCAAGGACCGGTTATAAGTTTTACTCATTCAGTGTGGTCATAATTTTGAATGGTCACTGATTGAGTGGTCATTAAGCAATTACTACCTGTATTGTAAAAGGGTGGTTCAGCAGTATATTTCAGAAAGCTAGTATCATTGTAGCATACTAATATATTTCCATCTTCCAGTTGCTTTCTCATAAATACTGCTGATCGCATAATCCGAGTTTATGATGGCCGGGAAATCTTGACCTGTGGTAGAGATGGGGAACCAGAACCAATGCAAAAACTGCAAGATTTGGTGAACAGGTAAATGTGTGTAAAGTAGCTAAATATTTTAAGGCATCAGAATATATTTCTTTTGTAATATTCAGTATTTAATTGAATAGCTAATAATAGTTAAGCCTCTTACATAGCTGTTTGCTTTGTGACCTTCCAAAACAATAATTATTCATTCAAATATTCAACTTGTCCTATATGACAGGCTTCCCTGACCATTGATCCCTCACTACTGATCCCCCATTTACAAAAAGAAGACCTCAATCTACATGGGTAGGATTGTATAATTATTTAGTAGTAACTCTTTCAAAAACTGAAATTTACTTTTACAATATAATCCTATGAAGATTACTCAGATTTCTAAATGTCAGGCTCAGCTCCTAGTAATTACATATCCATGTTGTTTTATTAACAATAAAATGAAATGGTTGTGTCTTTTTTCAACTTACTGGTTTGATTTATAGCCCTAGAATTTGCTGTTGGTCTCCCATCCTAGTCCTAACTGGGGAATTGCTGCTTAGGCATTTTGAGATCAGCCAGTCACTTGGGTCTTCCTATTAGCTATTGATTTATTTGAAAAATTTATATAGTGCCCATCTTGCAACAAGCTCTGGGTGGCTCTTAATAAATAAAAAAGCTCAAATTAGTGATGCAGATAATTCTGGGACAAGATGAGCCAACAAGTGATTTTAGACAGATTTGCAGAGTTGTTTGCTTTTCTGTCCATTTTCATTCGTATATTTTTAAAGGCTGTTTCTGTTGAAACAGAACCTTCTTTTGATTAATCTTGTGCAAGCCCAGATCTGTCCTGAGCAGAACTTTAGAGTCTGGAAAAGTACAGTGATGCGGTTTATTTTTATATTTTCTATTACATTTTGCAATAGCTTTTCTAAATAATCACCCAAGGATTGATGGTCCAGTTAATCAATTTGGGAAATATAACTTGACTTGAATAGTTACATTTACATAGCAGAATTTGCAATGTGCATTTTTGAAATAATATGTCATTGTCTCCAAAGAAAGCATTGTTAGAGGGGTTTTTTGGAGGGGGGGATTGGAATCTTTTATTTTTCCTGCTCTTGAAAGAATCGGTTAACTTTTTCTACTAATTTCTTTTTTGTAGGACGCCTTGGAAAAAATGCTGTTTCTCTGGTGACGGGGAATATATTGTTGCAGGGTCAGCCCGTCAGCATGCTCTGTACATTTGGGAGAAAAGTATTGGCAACCTTGTGAAAATCCTGCATGGCACTAGGGGAGAGCTGTTGCTGGATGTGGCAGTAAGTGCTCCATCTTTCTCTCCATTCTATTTTGTCAGAATAATTGGCCTGAATTTTTTTTAATATATGTGCCATTGTTCTCCTTCTTGCTGCAATTCTAGTGGCATCCTGTCCGACCAATCATTGCTTCTATTTCCAGTGGAGTGGTATCTATATGGGCACAGAATCAAGTGGTAGGTAGAATTCTGCTGCATTTTATTAGTCTTTTACATTTTGATTTTGGGTAGCGACTCTGTTTTCATTTATTCTGAATATTTTTACAATATTTGCATAAACTTCCCTAGGATTTGTATTCTAAATAAATACAGAATACAGAATAATATAAAAGAATGCAAGAACCATCTAAATGTTTTTAAAAATCCTAACATGGAAAGCAATTTGACAGTAGAGCCAATTATACAGAGAGATGCTAGACTCCCCTTCATTGGATGTGCCTAGGTGAAAGCTTGACAGCTGTTTGTCTTGTTTAATTTTTTGCACTGAAGGAAAACTTGACCATGATGATTTAGATGACCTCTCCTGTTATGTTCTAGAACAATCAGGGACACCCAGAGAAGTTGAGGTGCTAGACTTTCACTTCATATTTAAGCAAAGACAAGTACCAGCAGGCAGGGCTTTTGGGCAAGCATACGGAAGTTTAATCAAACAAGTTCAAATTACAAGAGTCCAAAGCAGCAGGTGAAGACATTATTGGGTTATGAGAGAGTGACTTTTAGGAAGCAGGAGGTTTCAGGCTTTTGATGCAAAGACACAGGATAAAAGGGTTGGCCCAAACTGGCTTTTAAGTAGAACCTTTATGTAGTGAGTCACAATCAATACTGGAAACACCTTTTTTGGACAAGGAGGGCCATAGAGGGAGTTTGCTGCTCAATACATAGCACGGTGTGATTGAAAAGTGGTTGCTCAGTGCTTACATGGTGCTTATCTGTTACATGGCATCACAAGTTTGAAATGTTTTTGGGTGGGGGGGATTTATGGTTTAGGAAAACTGGAGTGCCTTTGCACCTGATTTTAAAGAGCTGGATGAAAATGTAGAATATGAAGAACGGGAGTCTGAATTTGACATTGAAGATGAAGATAAAAGTGAGCCAGAACAAACAGGTAATTAATGTATTATTTTAAATTTATTTTAAAACAAGAATAACTCTGTTGGAAATGTCAATGCCCATTTGAATCCAGCCTTTTTTTTTTTTTCTTACCATGGCAAATTGATATCTTTGTGGTAGATGAAAACATACTGGTTTTTTTTAATCATTCAACCAACAGATGATGGTTGTCTTCATCTGCTGACAGCAGCAGTTGCCAGCAGCATGCTTGGAGCCCAGCTACCATAAGAAAGCCATGTGAAGTTTCAGAACTGGGGTCCATGTTAAGTGAATGTATGTGACCTAACCTTAATCTTTAAAATAGTGAAATTAGTGTAAAATTAAAGATATGCTTTTGAAGCTCTCCACTCCTGTGCTTTAAAGAATGTTTGGTATGAGTCATTTCACATGTATAAGTAGTGCAGTTTGTCTTTTTGTTAATATGGTACAATTGTCAGAAATTATACTTTATAAAATAAAACACATCTTCGCCCATACAGGTTATAGCAAATCCCAATTATATTGATATGTATAGAGTGTATAACTTTGCCACATAAACTTTAGAACTTGTGTGTGTGTGTATAGACGTGTGTGTGTGTGTGTGTGTGTGTGTGTGTGTGTATGTATGTTTTCTGAGGTTTTCGTGGGTGTTTGTATGTAGGTCTTTGGTTATTCGGGTTTTCTTCCAATTTGACGCGGGAGAAAACCCGAATAATCAAAGACCTACAGAGAGAGAGAGAGAGAGAGAGAGAGAGAGAGATGTATAGATATAGATATATATAGGTCTTTGGTTGTTCGGGTTTTCTCCCGCGTAAAATTGGAAGTGTCTTGGCGACGTTTCGACGAAGTCCCATTCGTCATCTTCAGGCTGGTGTTTTCAGCTTCGTGCTTTGAGCAGCAATGTGTGGTCTTAGCTGTTTCTTCCTTTTAACTGCCAGTGGGGGTATGAACTGATTGGGTGGGAGCTTGGCTGTGTTATTGTTTTATTGGCTACATAAAAAGTATGCATATATAAATATAGAATTATTCTGTTTATTATATTATATTATACTATACTATATTACATTATATTGAATCAAGCAACATTACATAAAACTTCTATTAAAAGCATAATAAAGTTGAATGTGTTACTTAAAAATATAGCTATTGTTTAAGTAATCTAATAAATCTTTCAAGAAGATTGTCATGGTTCTGTCAGATGAAACCCTTCAAAAGAACTTCAAGGCATTGTTTACCTTAAAGAATCTTTTATTCGGGAAACAAAGTATTGGCACTACATAGCTGAAGCCAAAAACTAAATTTCCCTCTCCTGGATACAAAGTAACAAAGTACAATTCCCACCTCCAATAAACAGTCATAAAGCACATTCCCCAATTAGCTTGAAGTGCAGGAAGCCCCAGCTCTCCAGCCCCAAAATGCTATCAGCTCTGGGCCCAATGACCTTGGGTTCCCCACGGCAAAGTTGTTATTGTTATGACTAGGTAGACTCATCCCATTCTCCCCTCCCAGCATCAACTAATTCTAAAAGAATAGAGAAAATGGCTGCATTTTCATTTGTTGTCAAAGCAAGAATATCCGATGTTAGCAGTGTTGACAGATTGCTAGAGGATAGCAAACATTGCCAATGCCTATTTTTATGAGAAGTTTTGTTTAATGCTTTTGCACTCAAAAGAGCCCAAAGCAGTATAGGGGGAAAATAATAAAGAATGATAAAAAAATCAGTAATAAATTTCCATAAACAAAAGAGTAAAACATTTTAAATGCTCCAATTTAAGAGAGTTCAATTACATAACATTTAATTCTGGAGGTCTTGTTACTTTGCAAATGTTTTACATGAGCGAGTTAGTGTTAATGATATTTGAAACAGAACAGCATCTGAATTAATGGTGCATCCCTTTGGAGGGCATTCCATTACCTAGAAGCAATAATAGTATATGTTTAATATTATGGTTTACTATCCTTTGATCTCCACTGATTTGCTAGTGCAGAACAGCGCTTATCAAGTAAATGCTAATGGTCCCCTAATTTGTGATTCTGACTTTCATTACTTGACAGGTGCTGATGCTGCAGAAGATGAGGAAGTGGATGTAACTAGTGTAGACCCTATTGCAGCTTTTTGTAGCAGGTAAATTGGTAACGGCCCAGCTATTACAAGACTATAAAGAAATTTTAGTTGATTCAAATTATGAGCATGAATTATTTGTCTGTGTATATTTCAGAATCAAGTCCTGCCCATTCAGTAATGTTTACTGTTTGTTAAAGCAGATTAACCTTGAAGCTCTAAAAGATCTGTGGTATGAGTAGGTAGCTAGTTCTCATCAAAAATGCCCTTGAGCAAGAGTCTGTTTTAAATAGCATCTATTTAAATATCCTTCTTCCAAGTTTCTGAAGAATGCTTTTCTCTTATAAAAGTTGTGTGACTAATGTAATTTGTGGTGAAACTTATTAGGAAACCAGGACTGTTATTGAGAGGAGTATTCTTTTTTGCCATATGTGAGATGCCTTCACAGCGTGCATTTGAATGGTTAATGTAGCGGTGATAATACTCTAGGAGAGGCAAGAGTACAAAATCAAATGAAGGAACATTCCTTCCCTCATGAGCTGTGTGTTGCTAATGAGCAAAATAAATTATTTCTCTGACAGTGATGAAGAACTGGAAGACTCTAAAGCTTTACTCTACTTGCCTATTGCTCCTGAGGTGGAAGACCCAGAGGAAAATCCATATGGGCCTCCACCAGATGCAGTTCAGACTGCTTTACCTGATGAAGGAATAGGCTCTGAGAAGAAGCGGCCATCTTTGTCTGATGGACCTCAGCCTCCAAAGAAGAAACCTAAAACAACCAACATAGAACTGCAGGGAGTACCTAATGATGGTGGGTAGGGATTCCTTTTCATTCCTTTATAGTTAGGTAGACTTATTAAAGAATCATGATCTGTCCTTCAGTCCATACTGCCAACATAATTAATTTTCAGTGGTCTGCAGAATAGATGGGGATGTACAGTTATGCTCACTTTTTTCTGAATTACTTGACATATATGATTCATTTAAGAAATGAATGGATAGTATATTTACTTTTCAAGAAAGCAGAATTCTGACATTTGTTATTGTTCTTATTTTCTATGGGACCAGCTTATCACCCAGAAAAGAATGCTTCTGAATTGGACATCTTCCCTACCCTTTACCTCATTACATAAAATTTGAAGTTATTTCATATGTTACTTCTCTTTACTCTGCTTCACAAAGTTTTGGCAAGAATTGTGAGAGCACTCTGCCTTCTTCAGACTGTTCACCAAAAGCTTTTGGAAAGAGCACATCTCTATAAATATTGATCAGTGCAGGCATATAATGTCTCCTCTGGATTGCCAAAAGGTTGTGTGAGTGCTTCAGAGGAAGCAAATGGCTCATCCTCCACAGCAGTCACCAGATCTATGAGAAATTTTTGGCACAGTTGCAGACCAAGCATTGCAAGAATAATGTGCAATTTAATTCTTCTGGATTATTTGCCAAAACCTTGGGGGAACAGGCTTTAAGAGTGAACAGTGCCTTTAGCATGAGTCACCAAAGATGCAGCAGGCCTTGCCAGAAAATAATCATCTTCAGAATTCCCTGGCCAAATTCCAAAGAAATGACTGAAGTGACTGTAGGGCAGTGTTTCTCAACCTTGACAATTTTAAGGCATGTGGACTTCAACTCCCAGAATTCTGGGAGTTGAAGTCCACATGCCTTAAAATTGTCAAGGTTGAGAAACACTGCTGTAGGGGATGGACAAAGCTTTTTTGAAGCAAATTGCATTGTCTCTTTGCTTCAATGAAGAGAATCAGGTCATCTCATCTTAAGATGGTGATGAAGTTGCTGAAATGCCTAACTTCTTTTCAGGGGTAGATTAAGTGCAGGGGAAAGGAAGAATGGCTTCAGTTAAAATCATCATATCCTGAAAGCTAATGTCTCATAATCAGGTTAAAAAAATGAAGGTGAAATGTTTCAACAAGACAGTGATCTCAAATATAGTTCTAATGCATCTGGGAAGTTCTTATAGAAAAGAAAGCTAAAGGCTTTGGAGTTGTCTTTAAAGCCCCCAGACTGAATAAATAAATAAATACATTCTCTGGAGAGAATTTAAACATGTGATGCATACAAGGAGACTTGTGAATGTTCCTGCAAGGATAATTGACAGAAAAAAATTCAAAAGCAAGAAGGAAAAAGCTTTTAGCTGACCACAAGAAAAGTTTGGAGGCTATTAATTCAGCCAAGGAAAGTATTACAGATGCTGTTCAAAGTTTTGCCACTAACACATTCACTGTTTACTTTGAATCTATAAAGACCCATACATAAATTATAAGTAGGTATGTTTGCAGAAACACATACTTGACTTTGTACCATGGTGTCAGTTTTTGTTCCTATAGTTGAATTCATTGACATTTGACCATTTTTATATACAACTGTGTGCCTTGATCTACACAGATTTGGAAAATAAACAAGAGAATGAACAGATTAATTTCCTCTTATTTTTTTTAACAAAAATACACTTCTGTTCTAAACTTTTACAGAAGTCCATCCACTGCTGGGTGTAAAAGGAGATGGTAAATCCAAGAAGAAGCAAGCAGGGAGACCTAAAGGATCAAAAGGTAAAGAGAAAGATTCTCCATTTAAACCGAAACTCTACAAAGGGGACAGAGGTTCTTTACCTCTGGAAGGAGCAGCGAAAGGTAAAGTGCAGGCGGAGCTGGGACAGCCTTTGCCAGGTAAGGACCCACCATGAGCATCTGCTTGCTTGGTGACCTTGCTTTGTACAGAAATGGCCTATTCTGAGCATTTGAACTTCTCAGACACTACCTGCTTGCTAAATGTTTAGTTTCTGCACTCTCAAGAATAGACAGAATTGTACTTTTTCAGTTATAACATTTACACTGCATGACAAATATTGGTAGGTTCTATAACACACATTCTTCAAGAATGTGAACCCTAAAAAAGAATGCAATTTTACCATAAGGAGAAGCAAGCTTTTGATGTTGATTCTCTTTAGTTCATTATTATTTCACGATTTCCAAATTTGCTGTTAAAAGAAGTCCCAGAAGCTGAAAAGAAAGTGATAGAAATAGTGAAAACTAAAATTCTTTTCAGAATGCAACTGCTATCATTTTTTAAATGTCATACTCTTTGCAGATGCTAGGAATTAAGAGTATTTTAAAAGCTTTTGAAAGGCTCGGGATAATATATACCTTTCTTTATGTATCAACTTTGCCTATAGTTGAGGAGGGCATTCTGAAAAATGCCGTTTGCTCTTCCCTTTGCTCCACTAGGCAGGAATAAAAAAATTGCAACAGTTGCTAGAGTAGGGAAGAGCATCCCTTCCACCTTATTTATGTCCTGCTAACTCCATTTTCAGCAGGTGCTAAGAACTTTGTTCAGCATTTATCTTGTCTTATTTCTAAGCTGTGGAATTTATAGGCAGTTCAATATTGTTTATTAGACACTTTGAAGCATCTTTCTAACATTTCTTGAACTCGGCCTCCAGCTGTGAGCTCCAGCAATGGTAGTAGAGGCTTTGATTGCAAACTGCATGCCATCACGTACTGCTATTATGTGGGCCAAAACATGCAGGGTTCACCATTTAGTCTTTAACGAGGATGTTTTACCAGTTCAAACCAGAAAAGATGGCTGCATAAACAAGTATAATGTAGATAATACTTTTCTTCTACCTCTTCTTTCTCACCGTTTTAATTATTGTTGCTCTGGCATTGCTAGAAGCAACAGACTGCCATTGCTTTTAGTGGCACCAGCCTTTTGCTTATGGGAAGAAAGGGCATTATCTGCAAAAGGAGATGCCATGATATTTGTTGCGGCCAGACTGTTTTGCAGGCTGATTTTTCTCAGTTGAAAAAAAGCGAATCCTTTACAGTTACAAGGAGTGGTCTAAGCATGCTTTTTTCATAGCAGTAGGTTGACCTTATGCCAGCAGTTTTGTGTTCTGCTATGGTATAACTTGGCAGATTCTGTAAATTTACATATGAATTGGGAAACAGTAGCTCTAGCTTTATAAATCCTAGACTGACTCACAATCTCTCCCATTTATAATGTTTTTGTTCGTTGGTAGAGTTGTGTGCAAGGATAGAAGTAAGACTTTATTGTCCCATTTTGTGTTCAGGGAGATTAATATCTGGACCTCGTTCATTTGCAGATATAAGGATCCAATTGAAGGCATGAGTTCTTTTGAAACTGAAAACAGATGTGTTTCCTACAAATAAATCATTTAGCACTACTAAATCCCCTTGAAAGGTTATATTTAAGTGATATGAACAGATTATGTTAATTTTTTAAGTGAACATTGAGATTACTATTTCTTAGGGTTTATATTTGAAAATTGTTTTAGGGTAACCATAATGCCCTGGCTTGTATTCAAGCCCTGCAAAAGAAGAATCAGTATGTATATTTCTTGTGTGCTGGACTTTTGGAAATATATTATAGGGAGTTTCTAAAAATAAATCCTTGAATATTATTGTTTTTCTAATGTATTTAAAGTGAAAGACTTAAAATTTGAATGAATCTATATCTTTTTCTAGTGCGTGTCTCTGCCCAGCCTCTGCTCACCAGAGAAACAGTATTTTTGTTTGTTTATTTTTGCTCCCCCCCCCGGTGACTCTCTCTATATAAAGTTACTACATGGGCTTTTACTATTTCCTTTGTTCTCATAGAACAATATATCACATCCTCTTAGCAATTATTTTTGTATGTCCCAATTTTGAAGATTCTCTTCTCAGTGTTGAAAAGTAGAGCATTGGATTTGCCATGAAGGATCTTTTTCATGGGTAGAAGAGAACCATCCTTCCCTGATGAGACAATGAATTCTGTCTGACTTTTTCCCCTAAAATTTGCTTTGAAGTTCCTGTCGCTTTTCAGTGTTATTACTGGGAGGGAGAAAATACTTTCCCTTGTGCTGGGGATTGTTCAAAATACTCCTAGAAATCCTGGAGCAATTGGGAGGAGCAACCCATTATCCCTGTGGAAAATCTTAATGTTCCACTCTAAACTCTTAGGGAGAAAAATCATCTTTCTGCTACTGTGCTACTGCTACTAGCAGAGAATCTCAGTGCTAAGATGTTTGCTTTCCTCAAGTTCAGTGATATTAATTGACAAAGGGGCAGGGTTGCAAATTGATTCTATTACACTGAATTTTTTAGAATTCTGTAGAGGTAGTCCTCGATCTATGACCACAGCTGAGCCCAAAGTTTCCATTGCTAAGTGAAACATTTGTTAAGCGACTTTTGCCCCATTTTATGACCTTTCTTGCCACAGTGAATCAGTGCAGAACAACTAGTAATACGGTTGTTAAACAAGTCTGGCTTGTCGGAAGATCACAAAAAATGATCACATGACCCTGGGACACTGCAGCCGCCATAAATGCGCGTCAGTTGCCAAGCGTCTGAATTTTGATCACACAACCATGGCGATGCTGCAATGGTTGTAAGTGTGAAAAATGGTCACAAATCACTTTTTCCAGTGCCGTTGTAATTTTGCATGGTCACTAAATGAACTGCTGTAAGTCGAGGACTACCTGTACTCACTTGCTTTGCCTTTCAGACTGAGTAAAACCATTTTCATCCTTCAATCTGTATACAGATGACAAGATTATTTTCTGCTCAATTGCTCGATAAGGCTCAATGCTAAAAGAAATGGGTATAGGTGAAACATGACGTGATTTTGACAATTTTTTGTAATAGCTGTTAAGTTGATATTCAAAGGTAACTCAGCCTAAAATATTTTGTATGTCCTTGAAGCTCAGTAGCTATTGCTGTGAATTTTGTAATTTCCAGATCCTTCTTTTCCTCATTGCTGGCTCACTGTTACCCAGCGTGCTCATTGTCCTTCCTGCTCTGCTCCTGTTTTGTTGTTTTTATGATGATATTATCCCCTGAATTGTTGCTTACAAAAGAGGATTGGGAAGCTTGGCAGCTTTCCAAGTCATAAACTTGTTTCCATATTTTTTCCCCTGAGAGCTAATTTTAGTTTTTTAACTGTTCAACACTTGTTCAGAAATAATCAGAAGCTTTTTATTTGTGTGCATGTGTATATATATGGGTGTCTGTATAAAAGCTATCCCGTTCCTACGTAGAAATAAAAGTGCAATTAAATGATATTAAAGGGTACTTTTCTAATGGTTTCTACGGTACCTATTAATCCCTGAGTTTCATTGAAGCCAGCCCCAATGAGCAGGCAGGGTTTTTCCACCACCAGCCCAGAGATCAGCTCCAGAAGGTTGGAGAGAGATCGGGTGGAGCAGCAGTATAGTCAATAAATCAGCAGGACCTTCATCTTGTGTGGACACTCGTATCCCAGTGTCTTCAGGGTGCATTTCCTGGTTTTAGATAAAGAATTTCTCATCATCAAAGTCATCCTGATTCCCGGCTGGGAGGATATTTAGGGACCTGATAACTGGCCAGGCAGATCTCCAAAAAGACTACAACGTTGCCCTTGCCCAGTATGTCTTAGTAATCTGCCAATTCCGCTAGGTTCCATATAGAGTTCATGCTTCATTGTCTAGTACTTGGTACTTTCCACTTTTTTTTTATCAGCTTGTCCAAAATTGGCTGTGGATTATGGGAGATCCACTATTTTATAATAACCAGGTTGGGGAGGCCAAATTAATGCCAGGTTGGGGAGGCTAAATTAATGGCTGGCTCCTCGATATTCTAGCTACAGTTCATTCCAACCTCCACAACCTGATTTTAAGATAGAGCGGTCATGATTTAGGAAAATAGAGTAGAAATGGGTTGGCTCTCTGCCAGACCCATATAAAATGTAGAGGAAAAAAAGCCACATTCATAAATTAGAAATAATTGCAAAGGAATATCTGGTGTACTTTTCAACTGTTTAGTGGTTGGCAGAGTTAACTTTAAAAAATAATAAATAATAAAAAAATAAAAAATACCAGTGGTCCACATAGACCTGCCACATGCTGTGCCACATGTGACCTGCATGCCATATGTTATGCAAGCCTGCTCAGTACGGTTATGAATTAGTTTATGAGGCCATAATTATGTGAACTATTTTTGAATAGTCCTGGCAAATTGAATCTCATGGGAAAGAATAATGCTTCCTTGTCATACAAACAAGAACTGCCTTCCCTGTGTAGAGCTTAATTAATAAACTGATCTTGAGATAAAATTGCCATATTGTTCCTGCCTCTATCTGAGGTTCTGATCCTCACTTTCCTTACTACAGAGAGTACTCTGACAGGGTAATAGTGAGAGGAATTCCTGAGTTTTTCTGAAATTTATTTACTTTTTGCAACAGTTTGAAAAAGCTAAAAACAGGAAGCGTGTTAAATGTTGAGGAAGAACCTCCCTTTACTTCTACACCAGGTGTAGATGATTTTTGTAGTGTTTATATTTTCTGCAAACTATCTGAATTCTGTTGGGAATATCAGTAATACTTGAGTTTTCTTTTCTTTTGGTTTTGATTTTTAGCAGGTGGTGGAATTTCGGAGTTGTTATGAAAGCTTCCCTCCTCATTCCGTCTTTTTTCTTACTTTGGCGTCATTACGTGGAATAAGGACAAATGTTAAGTCAGATAATGGACTGCCTTCATGTGGGAAAAAAAAATATGACTGAATGGCCTGCATCTCCAGGGAACAATTTATGCAAATTATGGAAGAGGAACATTTTGTCCCTAGTCATTTCTTTTTATTAATAGTAAACGGACAAGGAAAGATTTATATAAAATCTGATGGGAAAGAGCTGTTTTTTTACCCATAATCTTCTTAGAGTTCCTTAAAGGACAAAGTATGGAACAAGATAAGAAGCATGTGCATTGAGTCCTGGGTTACTTTATGTTATGTGGCTTAATGCTGAAATCTCATTGAATTCCTGCAACAGGTTATTGCATCGTGACTGGCTAAAGCAAATTACTCTGAGCCTTGTTGTTTATTTCTCAACCATCTTGAATTGTAAATGCAGTTAGTGCTTAGCTTACTATCCCACAGCTATGATATATTGTAAATTGATCTAGTTGTCAAATGGGTTGCTGAAATCCAAATGTCTATGATGTATAAGAACAAGAACTTTTTTTCCAAGGGAGAAAAGGAGCATATAAAATAGTTAAGTAGACTGAGCAAAAACACGAGGGACTCTTGTTTCCTCTCAGCATGTTTTAACCACATCCACAGATGCTTGTTTCCCAAACTCTTTGGGGTTCTAGGGAGAACAAACTTTCCCTAGACTCTGTAGAGTGTATAAGTGTATAAAAATGGAAAACCTGGACTTACATTAAATGGATTCATTTTGTTAATGTTCTCTGAAAACAATTTGAGGATGTGAATGTTGATCCTGGGTCTATTTTAGAAAACAGGCCTTTCATTCAGGAGATTTAAAGACAGAGATGTCTTCAAAGTATAACTAAAGGATATACAGGTGATTTACATACTTAGATCTATCTGTAGAATGGATAAAGGTGTTTTAAAAATGCCTTTTAGTTTGTTTTGTTTTCTGCATAATGTCCTGTGGTATGTTTCTTCTAAATATATCCTGTGTTGAAATCTCATATTTTGTATATTATTATTTATGCCATCCTCACTTCTACAATTTTATGCAACTTTCCCTTATATAAGCTACAGAGCTTTCCAGTGCTTATAAGAATAATAGAAAAGCTGGTTGGATAATGACTGTTGTATTGTTTATGTGGTATTGTGAATTCAAATCAGATCTGCAGTTTTCTACAGTTTAGAGTGCTTTGTTTTATTTTTCAGTTTTCTATTATTATTTTTGTTACTATTGTAGTGTGTACATAACCTGAAAAATAATTGCTTTGTAGCTACTGTAAAGTACTGTTATGATGTTAGCGTCTCTATTTGTAAATAAAGAGGTACGTTTTATTTCTTAAATGTTGTAATCTGCTCTTTTTTTTATACTACTTTATTCAAACAAGTTGTAGAATATTTTCTTCAATCTAGCCCTTAATTGATAAATTGATTATGTGCCATCAAGTTACATTTGGCTCCTAACAAGTAAATGCTATTATGGTAATTTGTGATGTATTCTGGTCATTTTAATTGAAGTGCAAACATTATTCTGAAGAAACCAATGGCTTGCAACTGGCCTCTTCAAAACTGAGAAAATGAAAAAATATTGCAAACTAAATAGTGGGAATTATAGGAAGCTTATATAATGCTATTGAATGCACTATAAAATTATAATAAGAACAAAGAGGAAGAGTAATGAAGGATAGCTTCCGTGATACGTGTACTTTTTATAACTTTAATTTGAGCAAGATGTTTGTCATGCATTGATCAGCCACTTCATGTCACATCAGAATAATGCAGTGATTAGTAAAATAATATTTTAACATCCAAGGATAAAAAAAGAATAACTGCCAATCCACAATTACAGGTAGTCCTCAACTTACAATTAATTTAGTGACCGTTCCAAGTTATAACAGCACTGAAAAAAGTGACTTATGATGTTTTTTCACAAGACTGTTGCAGCATTCCCATGGTCACATGATCAAAATTCAGATGCTCATATTTATGATGGCTGCAACATCCCGGGGTCATGTGATCGTCTTTTGCAACCTTCTGACAAGCACAGTCAATGGGGAAACCAGATTCATTTAACCATGTTACTAACTTATCAACTGCACTGATTCACTTAATAACTGTGGCAATAAAAGTTGTAAAATGGAACAAAATTCACATAATAACTGTCTTAGCAACAGAAATTTTGGGCTCAGTTGTGGTTGCAAATCGAGGACTATTTGTACTATAGCAATCTTCCATCGTGAACTTCATTCTGAAGACCATTCCTGCAAAAAATCAATTATTGTGGAGCAGTAATGTAATCTTAAGTCTGACAGTATTCAGGCACTGTTCTCTTTTTCCCAGCACTTTATAAAAGATCAGCAAAGCCAATCCTCTGTTTTCTGATTTTTTTTTTTCTAGCTTTGATGCCACAGTTGAATAACTCCAAAAATGTTACAAAGAATTTAGGTGTACAATCTCTATTTCTGGAACTTCGGTTCCTTCACAGTATTGCTCTATACATTGCCAGTATTTTCAGTATAATATGTAAGTCTTGTTTTAATGAATTCCATCTTATCATCACTTCCATTCATCTTACTGCATTTCTACTATCATTTCTTTTTATTTGGATTTTAGGTATACAGTACACATACAGTACATAGTATCACACAATTGCCATTGCAGTCCAGATATACTAAATGTGCAACTAATTCCTAACTAGGTATGTTGTTTGATTACAGTTAAAGCATTTCTACTTATCCCACCTGCATCTCTTGTTTAGATCCAGCCCACTGCAGTCATGCTGCTGAAATTCTGAAGGAAAAAGAATACAGTACTGCAATCAATACTAGAACTGTTGGTCTTTTTAACAATTTTATAAAAGCTCCATATTCTCAAGAAAAAATAAGTTAAAATGATTTCCCTGTACCATAATAACATGTATTGCTTCACTGCCATATTATTTGCAGCTACTGAAGGACAAAAATGCTGTTGAAATTGCCATTCCTGAGTGATAGAAGCACTAGGATTGGGAAAACATGTTGGAAACTGACAAAATCCTCTTTGATATTGTAGAGAAGTAAGATGGGAAAGGGAAAATAGTAAAACAAGATCCTAGAAAGGTCAATTTTGGGCTTAGACCAGGGGTGTCAAACTACCAGCCCGCGGGCCGGTTGCATCATACGAAGGCCGCGCCCACCCCAGCTCTGGCAATGCAAAAAAAGTCACACTACATCTCGACACATCACGTGACGCAGCGAATTTGACACCCATGGCTTTTAGACTATTCCAGGCATTCAATTCCTTGAATGTCATGCTCCAAAGTACCTTGGAGAATCACAATGAATATTCAGTTTCTGCCTTGATAATTATGTAATCTGTGATTCTTTTAATATATATTTTAGGTACACATCAGATAAGTTTTGATTATTCATATTACCTTTCTGTAACTGGGAGCACTATTCAGACAAGGATGCATTATGTAGTTTTATTATAGAATGGTTCTTTATGACATCACAATTTTAAAACTGACTCCATGCTGCAATGGCAAAAGCTGTTGAATGAGCATCATGAGCCAGACAAAGTCATTTCCTTTTTTAGTAGTTTATGCTTACCATGGAGAATGACAGCCCAATTTACATGTTTCTAATACCCTTAATATAGAGTATGTCTTTTTCAACACAAATATTTACAATATTTTTATGATTCCAAAAAGTTTGGTTTAAATTTGAATATATAATGTGGATGTCAGCTTTATGTAAGTATTGCTTCTGCTCTCCCCCTTGTCTGCATCCAATATTTTCTACATTAGGGGATTTTGGAATAAAGTTGTTTTTGTGGTAAGGATGGCATATCTTCATGAAAGAATTGGGTTACTGATGCTAAGACCAGTATTAATATTAAAGCTGAGACACTGGTATGGAGCTGTATTTTCATGGCAGATCTTTTTTTTAACCATGACTGAAAACATTGTGTTAATGGTCCATTTATAAACTGAGACTGAAATAGTGTACTTGCTGATAAAGATGGTTATAACTGATTTTCCTGGTTTGGCTGCTTCAGGTATCACATGATCAATTAAGGAACAATATGTACATTTAAAAATATGAAAAATAGCAATTTTTATGTGGAAGTTTACTACATTCCTCTTATATTTTACTAAGAGAATAATTTTATTTATTTATATAAAACTTTCCATTTTAAGCATTTTTTAAAAGTTAAATTGATTTTTAATATACAATAGCAGATGTACTGTATCTGTATCACTTGCAGACTGGCTTTTATGAATGTCCACCTTTTACCAGGTTAATCTGCTTTCTTTTGGCAATATGTCAAAGAGTGGTCTTTGATTCTTGTGGATTCCTCATGTCCAGGAACTTCATTGATATTTTAAATGAATGACACTTAGGTCATTTGATCAGACAACTGAGTGGATCCTAAAAGGACTCTTCAGGTATGATGATGCCTATTTTATTGTTAAATTGTTAGTATTTGCTTTCTGACTACCTGTTTCCATGGCTTCTATTGGAACAATTACCATTCCTGTCAAAATGAGAACTGCTACTGCTAGAGTTTCCATCAGTTCCACCAGCTGCAGTGTGACCTGTGGCATGGGTTACAAAGTTGAAGAAACATGTCAGATTGGGCCTAATGGTGAAAGAAGATACTGTGATATTCAAAAAGTGGAGTGCTTGACCAACTGGCTCTGTGGGATGCTCCATTTCACTATTCTTGTTGGTAAGCCTTTTGAATTCCAGTGCTTGTCTCCTACAGAAATTGGCCCAGAAATCAGCAGCTTCAGTTATTCATGGAGGATAGCCAGAGGCATCATTACCACTGATGATGCTCTCTTTAAACCATTCAAGACTACTGGCTTTGTCATTAAGCTTTCCCCAGCCAAGGAATATGATGCAGGGACATACCGGTGTGATGTGCAGTTCATGAGAACCTATAAGATTGTCAAAAGAATTTACTTTGGAATTCGTGTGATCCCTGGTCACTTGGTGGATCTGAACTTTGACCAATCCTTGACTCTGGAACAGCACTTGGCAAGTGAGAAGGAAAAAACCCAGCAGAATGCCACCAGTGTTCCTGTCCAGAAGCAGCAGCACTTTTGGCGCCAAAGAACTCTTTTTGTATTTTTAATAGGCATTGGAAGCGGTGTGGTAGGAGGAATCTTGTTGCACATTTTCTACTATTTAGTGAAGGTTCCCAATAATTATGGCTATGTGGAGAAATAAAATGTTCTTGTCTTGCTGTATGCTGATTGATGTATTTAATCATTTTGCTGTATTGTTTATGGTTATTAAGATTATGTTGTGAAATCACATGGTTTCCCTTAATTTATTTAAAAAGCAATAACATATCTTGTTCCTTAATTATATTTCATAAAACTTTAAAGACAATACAAAACATGTAAATCAGTACATCTTTGGATGTGAGTTCAGTCAGTACATGCTTTCCATGTAGGAAATCCTAATTTCAGTTCTCAGGGCCAGAAAGAATCCCTACAACACTGGAAGATCTTCCAAGTCAACATAGATCAGTTTTTTTATATCTTGAGACCACAAATCTCACAATTCCTAGCAGGAACAACTAGGTTCAGTAAGAAAGGTAATCTCACCCAGTTGGGGAGAACAGTGTGAGCTAGAGATGAGCATTGAAGATGAGATTGAAACAACCCATTTCACATTCTAATGCAGCATTTCTCAGATTTGGTAACTTAAGACATGTTGATTTCAATTCCCAGAATTCTCCAGCAGATAAAGTAAGAGAGGAGAGAGGTGCATTCACACAGGCAAGATTCTGTTATTGTAACCTCATAATAAACATAATATTCATCATTTCGGTTTCCTAAGCTGGTTTAGGACTGACATCAAACTTACAAATCCCTCCTTTTATTTTCTGGATTGCTGAAGAGTCAAATCCAAGATCGTTTCTCTAATTACATTTCTGTATTGAACTCAGACTTCTTTAATCGGACCATGTCTTGGTTGTAGCTCTTGGTCCTGTCCCTCAAGGTTATTCTTACTGTCCTCACTGTTGTTTTAAATATTCAAGTTACTGAATCTGTGCCTATTCCTTGCCTGCCTGAACTTTTCTAGTGACAGCAGAGCCACAATAAGCACCCGTGGCCTTCAGACATAATAATACTGTTCAATGATAACGTTATGCCCCAAGCATCAAGAAGAGTCCAGTTAACCTTAAACATATGACTCAGTTGAGATACAGCATTCATTAGCTCCTGATCTACCTTTCCAAGATACTTTGATCACCACTATTGAAATTCAGCTTCTAGTGTGGTCTTGTTATGCAGATTTTTATATGAGGAAAGATACATACATACATGTATACATATACACATACACATATATACATATACATACACACACACACACACACACACACACATATATGTAGGTCTTTGGTTATTCGAGTTTTCTCCCGCGTAAAATTGGAAGTGTCTTGGCGACGTTTCGACGAAGTCCCATTCGTCATCTTCAGGCTGGTGTTTTCAGCTTCGTGCTTCGAGGAGCAATGTGTGGTCTTAGCTGTTTCTTCCTTTTAACTGCCAGTGGGGGTATGAACTGATTGGGTGGGAGCTTGGCTGTGTTCTGATTGGGTGGAGGTGTATTCTGATTGGTTAGGGGCTTGGCTGTGCTCTGATTGGCTGGGGGGTTGGCTGTGCTCTGATTGGCTGGACCCAACCAGAACACAGCCAAGCTCCCACCCAATCATTTCATACCCCCACTGGCAGTTAAAAGGAAGAAACAGCTAAGACCACACATTGCTCCTCGAAGCACGAAGCTGAAAACACCAGCCTGAAGATGACGAATGGGACTTTGTCGAAATGTCGCCAAGATACTTCCAATTTTACGCAGGAGAAAACCTAAATAACCAAAGACCTACATACAAACACCGCAAAAACCTCAGAAAACAAATACACATGCATATATATACATATACACACGTGTGTATGTATATAGGTATACATATATAAAATCTTTATTGAAAGTTTTTAACTACAATAAGCAAAACAAACTGGTAGAACAAAAAAGAAAAATAAAAGAAGTGCAAAAAGAAAAAATAGAATAAAAGTAGAGAGAAAAAAGACACAAAGATATAAAGAGCTTCCAATCTTCACAGCAGTTATAAATACAATTATATTATAACCTCTCTAAGTTTACATCATGACTCTTCTTTCTAGAATCTAAGCTGCAGTGATTGAAAATAATTTTTCCAATGATTTCTTAATTTTTAAAAATGTCTTGATATTGCATCTTTCATTTGAAATCATAAGAATGAGAACTGGGGAATGTGAACTAATAGATTTATTTGACATCCAAAGTGAAACAAGCGCTCTTTATTTTCCTGTCAATTTTGGGATTTGTAAAATGCACACAGCCAACCCTGAGCTTCAGGCTGAAGGCTTTTTAAAGGCTTGATTAAGTAAGAATAGAAAAGCAGAGTATTACTTGGAATCCCCTGTATTAATGTATACATAAGTCATAAATCATTTCAAAATGGGCACAAAGATAGGAAACATTTAGCGATTTAAACCCTGAGATTAGAAAGAAGAAAGGGAAATAGGTAGCTGCCCCATGTAATACCTGAGAAGGTGGGCAATTGAAGTCAAGTTATTCCATTTCCATCATCTATTCAAAATGTGCTTCTATTTCTTAAAAATAAAAATTACATTTGAAGAAATTTGCTAGAGTGTTTGTAGAATTTTATTTAAGAACTGGGTGCTACAACATCAGAAGATAATATAGTTTACTTAAAATGCTTATTCCCTTTTGTTCACTTTAAAAAAATAGCATTCATCAAAATTACTGGCTAAATATTGTTCCATATTTGAAGAAATTAGTAGAGGAGTTAAGTTAAAAGCAAGGGATGTTCCTAAGCTGAAGTTGGCAATGGCAGGATACTGTTTGGGAGTTGTGTCAAATCAGATTCATAATTAAATCAGCTCTTTATAGACTTTGTGGTAGCTACTGAAACTTTGTAGAACACTATAGTTATCTTATGTCCAATTAATGGTCACGTGGGAGAACAAGTGAGTGAGGAAAGATGCCTTTTTTTCAATATATAGTATTTGACCAGCAAAGCACACATCTATATTGTATGATATGGTCTCTAAACAAGGATGAGCATATGGCAGGAATATCCTGGAGCCCTATCCAGTTATTCAAAATTTGGGAGGACTAAAAGCAACAGGCATAGGTAATGTTCTCCTTCTAGCTGTAGCTTCCATTATTTAGGTACAAGAAAAAGTAGATTTGGCTTGAATTTGGTCACTGAACTCTGGTGGCCAGGAGTCCTACCCTTTCAGTATTTCCTATTAATAGGAATAATTCTGTGACAGAATTAAATAGAAAATGGATGCAAATTTCCTTTAAGCATGTAAGTTATAATGGCATGGACATCCCCCGTTCCCTGTACTTAAAAATGTTGGTCTGAAGAATACTTTTATCTTTACTAAAAACCATGAGATTTTCCAATAAAGCAACACTTTTCCTCTGTCCATTCCTACTGTACAGCATAGATTTAGGCATATATACAGGTTTCTTTTAGTACTGTCCATGGGGTTTTCATGGCAAAGATACTGGAGTGGTTTGCCATTTCCTTCTCCAGTGGATCACATTTTGTCAGAACTCTCTGGTATGACCTGTCCATCTTGGGTGGCCCTGCACGGCATAGCTTATAGCTTCATTGAGTTACACAAGCCCCTTCGCCACGACAAGGCAGTAAAGCGCCAAAGAATTGAGGCCTTTGAACTATGGTGCTGGAGAAGACTGCAAGGTGTTCAAACCGGTCAGTCCTAGAAGAGATCAACCCCGACTGCTCTTTAGAAGGCCAGATCCTGAAATTGAAACTCAAATACTTTGGCCACCTAATGAGAAGGAAGGACTCACTGGAGAAGGGCCTAATGCTGGGAAAGATTGAGGGCAATAGAAGAAGGGGACGACAGAGAATGAGATGGCTGGATGGAGTCACTGAAGCAGTAGGTGTGAACTTAAATGGACTCCAGAAGATGGTAGAGGACAGGAAGACTGGAGGAACATTGTCCATGGGGTCGCGATGGGTCGGACACGACTTCGCAATTAACAACAACAACACAGGTTTCTACAACACCTTTCAAATTTTCTAATGAGCACTGAATTGCTTCCTAAATTAGAACAAAAGTTTCCCATAAAGTAGTTTACTGTACATATCAGAAGTATTAATTACATTCTTTAATTTCCTTGTAAATGGATGTTTAAATTAGTTGAAAAATTTCTTAACAACCAGCAGTGGACAACAATATTAAAAGAAGGTAGGCAAAATATAATTCTAGTTTTTAAAGAATAGAAATAGCTGTTGTGGCTGAATGTTGAGTCGTGGCAACTGGACTTTTTTTCTTTCTGGGTTTGAAACGTTTTGCTGCTTATCCAAGTGGCTTCTTCAGTATGAGCAAGATGGTTAGGGGAACTCCATATACTGTATGTCTTCCAGGCTGGTTTCATTTCTCAGCTAATCTGAATAGGCTCATTAGGTGAGCAGGCAAAGAGTCATTAAGAGTCTTTGCTCCTAAATCCTTCTTTTAGGTGGGTCATTAAGTGTAATCTCCCTGGTGAACCTGTGAAGTGATCTATTCTAGATTTTCCTGGGGACTGATGAAAGAGCAGCATAAAATATGGGGGGGGGACAGGTTGTGTCTGAGACCTCCACTAGAGGTGCTCTTGGATCAGATCACAGGTTAACAGTGAGGTCTCGCTTAGCCACTCACCTAAGAGAAGGATTTAGGAACAAGAACTCTTAATGACTCTTTGCCTAGTCACCTAATGAGCTTATTCATATTAGGAGAGAAATGAAACCACCTTGGAGGACATATATGAAATCCTCCTAACCAATTTGCTCAACCTGAAGAAGCTACTAAGATAAGCAAAACATTTCAAACCAGAAAAGAAAAGTCCAGTTGCTCAACTTCCAGATAACTCTACCTAGATGACTGAGAACCTTCATCAAAATAAGCGTTGTGGTACATAAACATGATCAAAACTAAAAAAAAACCCATACAAAACAATGCTTGATAAACTGAATAACATTAAACTTATTATAAAAACTCCAGTTCATCAAATTCTGCACTAGTGACAAAAATGAAGTGGATGAGATTGTAATGGAATGAGATTGCCACATTTTTTTTCTGCTCTTAAAAACACATTTCTGATAAAATTCAATCAAAGTCAGTCTTATTTGATTACGCAGGGGTTCTCAACCTTGGCAACTTTAAGACTTGTGGACTTCAACTCACAGAATTCCTCAGCCAGCAAAGCTGGCTGAGGAA